TAATCACGGAAGATTGTCTTCGGACAAAACGCTGGCTCTATGGCTTGGAAACGGGGATGAGCACCGCCCCCTAGAGTCGAACACGACTGGACAAAAATTGTCAAGGGGAACCTTTACCTTTACCTTTACAGCATAGAGATGACATTGGTCTCCCTGCAAGATGACTTTTTGAGGGAGGCTGACAGGGGCAAGTTGTTTCTGTTGGTCCTCCTCAATTTCTCAGTGGCCTTTGATACTGTTGACCACAGTATCCTCCTGGGGCAACTTTCAGGGTTAGGTATTGGTGGCCTGGTTCCAGTCCTTCCTCGAGGACCATCCCCAGAGAGTTCAACTTAGGGAGATGGTTTCTTCACCTTGGACTCTGAATTGTGGACTCCCTCAGCAGTCGCTCATCCCCCAAATGTAATTTAATATCTATATGGGGCCATTGAAGGTGGTCATCAGGGGATTTGGAGTTTCATGTCATTAATATGCGAATGACCCCCATCTCTGTCCACCCTTCTGCAGTGGATGCCATCTTGTCCTTTGAGCACTGCCTGGCTACTGTGCTGGGGTGGATGAGGGACAACAGATTGAGACTGAACCTGAACAAGATGAATGGCCTCCGGGTGGGTGCTTCTGTTATCTGCATTTTGAGTGCCTCCCTTTCCTTTGATGGGGCTACTCTCTCTGTGAAGGATGAGGTGTGAAGTCTGGACATGCTACTGGACCCAGCGCTGTCAATGCAATATATGCCCCAATAGCATCTGTGTTTCAACCCACCTACTTCTACATTAGGTGAACTGCCCAGCTGTGCCACTACCTTGAGACTGGGTCCCCCAACATGTTGATCCATGTACTTACTGGCAGTCTCAAGAATAAACTACTGTAATGCTCTATATGTGGGGCTACTCATGAGGCTGGTATGGAAACTTCAGGTGCAGAAGATGGTGGCCAGGTTCCTAAGTGGAGCCAACAGATACCAACATGTTTCCCCCCTTTCTGGCTGCCTCACCCTGGTTACCTGTCTGTTTGTGATG